CATTAATACGAGAATTTAAAAACAGACTCAGAAGACCAGTTTTTTTCGAGTTTGAAAGACAAACAGTACAGGCAAGACATACTAAAACCCAAGTAGCCTTGAGAAGCAGGAGAAGAAAAAAGAAATCATACTGTTAAGTTAGTCATGGAGGTCAGAAACTAAGGGGCAGACTGAGCAACACAGCAGAGTTGAGAGGACACCTAATCCCAGAGTCCTGTCTCAGGGCAAAAGACCGCACCAGGGTCACGTGACTGAAAGACAACTAGACACACATTATAAAGGTAAAGCACCCCTCCGGGGTGGTGGGCTGGAGGGCTAAGGAAAAGTTTCCAAAAAGCGTAAGGCCACCTGATGGGCAGCCCGCCTTTTTCTTTGGCATTTCGCGGGCTTTTTGTTTCTTTTGTATTGTCGCCTGCTCTTTTTCCCAGATGCTATGGCAAAACAGAATTTCCAGCCTTCCTCTTCAATCTAGCATCTTTCATATGTTAATCTTGATGATTCCATCATGTTCAACTTCTGACACATGATTTTCCAATTCGGCTGAAGTGTTCAATGTATTCTTTTCCAACAGAATGTCTTATCTCTTCTCTCTAACGTCTGTCATCGGAAGGATTTTCTCACAGCCCTGTACTTTCACTCTGAGCTTTGCTTTCTGGATACTAGACTGCGCTGCCTAGGGAACCCTGGGAAGCCTGAGGGTAGGCTGGATCTCTTCTGTTCGTTTCCCTTTCAACGGACAGAAACTTGGTTTGAAGTGTAAAAATACACTTACAGGAACTTTTCAACGGTTTGGTATTGAATTGGACGCGAGCTTTATCTTCTAGCATTTCAAAATAGAGCGGATTCTGCCTTGAAAACAAACAAAAACAATCTAATCTAAAAGGTTTAGAAGAAAATGAATTTAATGTAGAGAGTTAAGAAGCATAATTGCTCGAAAAATTGTTACAAGATTCAGGTTTAACCAATGGGAAAGGAGACCGTCCTTTGTAACCACTAACCAATCAAACAGGGCGAATGTAAGTCTTAATTTGCATAAAACTGTCTACAAATACACAAACAACGTTTCTTCAGACTTCACTTTCTTTTTCTCCCAAAGAAAGAGATCCCAAGATGCCTGAGCCCGCCAAGTCCGCTCCCGCCCCGAAGAAGGGCTCCAAGAAGGCCGTGACCAAGGCCCAGAAGAAGGACGGCAAGAAGCGCAAGCGCAGCCGCAAGGAGAGCTACTCGGTGTACGTGTACAAGGTGCTGAAGCAGGTGCACCCCGACACGGGCATCTCGTCCAAGGCCATGGGCATCATGAACTCGTTCGTCAACGACATCTTCGAGCGCATCGCGGGCGAGGCGTCGCGCCT